TATTTTTGTTTGTTTGCTGAGCCAATGACATTGCATTGTTGAAGTGCCTCTAGAATCAATATCCTGTAGAGTTCGGCCTGTTTTCTTGACATAATTTATGGATTTTTGGTCTGAATAATACCAAGATCTTTAATTCATTTTAAATTAATTTTTATGTATGGTGTGAGATAGGAATTCAAGTTAATTTTTTGCATGTGTCTGTCTAGTTTTCCCTGTAACATTTATTAAAGACTTTCCTTGCTCCAAGTTTATACTTAAATATTTTGTCAAAAATTGTCCATATGCCTGAGGGTATATATATCTGTATAGCACAGCAGGTAGGGGGGTATGGCGTTCGCCTTACACGCGGCCAACATGGCCGACCCGAGTTCGATTCCTCCGCCCCTCTCGGAGAGCCCGGCAAGCTACCGAGAGTATTCGATATGCCAGACACAGTAACAACAAAGTCTCCAATGGAGACATTACTGGGCCCGCTCGAGCAAATCGACGATAAACGGGAGGGCCATACTTCAGGGTCTATCTCTGGGCTCTTGTTTCTATTTCATTGATCTGAAAGTCTGCCTTTATCTCAAGACCACACAATCTTGATTACTGTAATTTTATTGGAAAATTTAAGTTGCTGGGAAAAAAGCCTCTCAAATGAGTCTTAAAAAGTTGATAGGATTTAATTTGGCAGAATACAGGCACTGTGTTTTCATGAGCTCCCTACAGAACCACCTTAAACAGACCAGTCAGGAAGTTCCCAAGAAGACAAAAGCATTTCTATCCAACACACATTTAAAGCGAATACCTCACATAATCCGCTTGTGTAAACTTCACAAGCAAATTTACCTTCCTGTCCCTCATGACATTTTTTTGTCATCTCTTTTAATGGACATATACTTGCCTTTGCTCTTTCTTCCAACCAAAAAAAAAAAACAAAAAACAAAACAAAAAAAAAAACAAGGAACAACAAAACAAAACACAAAGGCAGCAAAATGAAACAAAAGGTACTTTGGGAATCTCACCCTCATTTTTTCACTTTCCCATGATCTCTGAATTAACTGGGACTGCAGATTCTTGTATACACACAGAATATCTATCACAATACTAAGGAAAGTTGGCCTCTTTAAGATATTCAGAGCTGTCCCTGCCCACCCAGAAGACTGGCTGTCATCTCCACAATTGGGGCCCAGAGGCTCCCAATTGAATCCCAAAATGGATTAGTGCCATACAGAGATGTCTCTGGAACCCAACCACTTAGCCTCTGGGCACCATCTTAGCACACTAGCAGCCCTGGCCCAGAGACACAGCTGCAAGTCCCAGATGACACCACAGCACCAGAGATCTCTCTGGGCCCCACACCAAGCGAATATCACTGGGACACCCCAAATGAAGCAAGTGCAGTCTCCCTGCCTACTCCAGATGGAATCCCGATGACCAAGAACCTCCACAAGCAAAGCCCAGGTATGCGGGTTCCAGGACTACATCTCCAGGCTGCAATGCGACAAAGTACCTGGGCTTTCCCTCCCCAGGTCCTCGCCCACCCAGAAGACTGGCTGTTATCTCCATAATTAGCCTCCGGGCACCATCTTAGCACAACAACAGCCCTGGCCCAGAGAGACAGCAGCAAGTCCCAGATGACCCAACAGCACCACAGATCTCTCCAGGCCCCATACCTAGCCAATATCACTGGGGCACCCCAGATGGAGCAGGTGCAGTTTTCCCACCAACTCCAGATGGAATCCCAGTGACCAAGAGCTTTCAAAGCAAGGCCTAGGTATTCGGGTTCAGAACTAAATCTCCAGGCCGTATGGTGGCAGAGGACCTGGGCTGTCTGTCCCCAGGTCACCACCTGCCCAGAAGACTGACTGTCATGCCCACAATTTGCCTTCAGATGCCATCTTAGCACACCAACAGCCCTGGCCCAGAGGCTCCCAATTGAATCCCAAAATGGATTAGTGCCATACAGAGATGTCTCTGGAACCCAACCACTTATAATCTAGAAATTTACATTTATAATCACGTCTGCGTGAAATCTCATGCTATTCAAAATGAGCTATGGAAAATATATTATCTAGTGTCTGCCCCTGACTGGTAGGCTTGAATGGTGGTGGGAAAATTTGAGCAAAATTAATGCCCCAAATTAGAGAGAATTAGGGAAATTGTCTGTTATAGAGGCAGGGTGAGGACTGCGATGTGTATGTATGTGGGGGAGGAGGTGATACTTGGGACAATGATAGTGGAAAATGTGCATTGGTGGAGGGGTGGGTGTTTCATCATTGTATGCCTGAATCTCAAACATGAAAGCTTTCTAACTCTATTGCACAGTGATACAATAAAATAAAAAAAGTAATGTGGAGTTCATGCCCAATTCAATCAGCTTAATCAATGGTTGAACAAATAGCAGTCCTCCTACATTATTTTTAAAAAATTAGAAAAATTCAGAGCTATAGTTTCCAAAGGCTAAGGGGTGAGACCCGAGTCTTATCTCCACAGACGTGAAAATCATTCAGTATCCAGAAAAATGACTGCTTTGTGCCATGGGACTCTAATTTCCATCTGAATGGGAACATGTTGATTTAAAAGAAACTAAAGGAGAATTCTGAATTATCTAACTTCTCTCCCCATTAACAATCTGGATATGCATCTAGAATTTATGCACGGCGGTTTTTTTTTTCCTGTTTTACAGCGGGATTTGGCCAGGGCCCTTGTGTTACCTGATGTTTGATCTTCCCTTTATGCCTCATTGTTTCTCCCTTCTGAATTAGATGTTAGTATCTTGGCTGTGTCTCAAATAAGCTTACAATTCAGGTTTTTATTTCTCCCCCAGTGGAGCCTCTCAAATCCCTTATCTTCGGCTCAACAGGAAGGAGATTACTTTGTTAACAGAATATTGAATGCTGATGATTTACTTGTTTATATATGGAGAAAAGAAAGCTCTGAAATATTCTATTTCATATACAATAGTTCCTGGTTCCTGATTCTTAGGGCAAAGGGGTGGGTGGAATGGGGTTGGGGGGTGGGGATTGCAGGGTCTGTGCTGGAGACCCTATGTAACTCAAGTGTGTAGAAAGATGTTGCTAATTTATTTCACTTCACTGGGCAGGGAGGGAGGATTAGATAGTGCAAGTGCAGCTCCGTGGGTCGTGTGCAGAATCTGACACATAGTTTTGCCTTTGCGACCATAGTGGGGAATTCAGCACCATAAAGCCTCCTTTTCAACCCTCATTTTAGAAGAAAAACCTGCAGACCCCAAGGGAGACACCCCATCTTGAATCTTTCCCAAACCCTAATTACAGCCTAAAAGACCTATTCACCCTTCCTGCCACCTCCTCACTAGTTATTATTCCTTGAGGCCCAAGAAACTTAATTGCTTTGTAACCCACACCCTTATTTTATGGGTACAAAGGTGGCAGAGAAGTTTATAGGAATGTAAAAGCCATAAAGAGTCCAACATAATGTTTGGATAGACTCATTATTAAACTTAAACAAACTGAATGCCCAGACAGATGTTAATTTTATATACATTCCTTTGGAAGGCTAAATTAATGCTTCAACTATTTAGTTTAGGGGTGAGCAAACTATGGGCTATAGGTTGAACTCACCCTGTTGATTATACTTTTATGTTGCCTGTGGCTGCTTCCACTCAGATGGCAGAGTTGAGTAGCTATAATAAAGATGACATAGTCCACCACAGAATCACAAGGACTTGCCAATTGACCTTAACAGGAAAAGTCTGCCCACCCTTGGCTCATCAGGACCTGGGCTTAGCAGCAGGTTCAGTGTCTGACTCCAGAGTTTAAGTGAAAGGCACCGAGTGGGGAAGAAGCTTCCTAAGCCCTTTTCTTAATCTGCCCAAGAGAATACTATTACTGATGTAAAAGGCTAGGGCCAAGCATTAGGGCACAAAATAGAAGGAATACATTTTCTGCATTTGGCTGATCCTTCTCTTTCTTAATAGATCAATGGAAAGAAAGACAAAAATCATCATTTTTGAGCATGAAGGGACCTTAGATGAGATATGCTTTGGTATGGAAACACTACAAAAATTCTGATTTCTGGGTCTCCATGGAAATAAAAAATTCTGATTTGTTAGTACTAGAAAGAGAGGATAGCATCTCACATTTTCTACCATTCTTGGATAACGGGCAACCCATCCATGGTGTAAACACAGCTAGTCCACCACCAACCGTTGGCAGTGGGAAGCCAGGTAAGTGAGTGCATTTCCATCAATGCCTTCTGGGTCCGAGGTAGAGACATCACAGACTGCTCATCTCTTGCTCTTCCCAAAGGATATGTAGAAGACAGATTTAATGAGAGTAAACACTTAGCAGCCCATCCTTCCAGTAATTCCTGAAACAGCTTCAGATCCCGAAGGATTCAGGGTGCTGGGGACTGCAGGTTTCTTATGAAGCATCACGCTAGAGAATCTTCTCATTCTTATCTAACCTTATGATAACAAAGGGCAGGTAAGAATGTCCTGGATACTGGCAAAGACTAGAGGATAGAGTCTAAGATGAGCCCTAAGCTGCCATGCATGCAGCAGTTGAATGAGCCTTAGCAAACTCTTCAGAGAGACTCCCCACTCCTCATCGCAAGAACATGCAATGGCTTCCTGTTTCCATCTGGTTAAGGACTCTTTCCCAGCTCTGCTCACTGCTCTGGAATTAGCCCACCTGGAGTTCAAACTCTTTAGTAGCTATATGACTATGGGTAGCACTATAGCACTGAAGCACTGTCATCCCATTTTTCATCGATTTGCTTGAGCGAGCACCAGTAACATCTCCATTCGTCCCTGTCACATGTTAGTGTAGCCCAATGGCATCTGCTTGCTCCAGGAAAATGAAGTGAGACTTATTGTTACTGTTTTTGGCATATCAAATACGTCACGGGTAGCTTGCCAAGCTCTGCCGTGTGGTCAGGATACTCTCGGTAGCTTGTTGGGCTCTCCGAGAGGGATGGAGGAATCGAATCTAGATTGGCCACGTGCAAGGCAAACGCCCTACCTGCTGTCTATCGCTCCAGCCCATATGGAAGCACATATAAAACTGGAACAATATAGAAAAGGTTAGCACGGTCCCTGCACAAGGATGACATGCAAATGACTATGGGCACGCTGCTTAATATCTCTGTGGCTCGGGTTCCTAAAATGTGAAATATGGGTCATGATAATAGCTACTTGTCAGGTTGTTATAAAAATTATGAGTTCCTTGTAAAGCCCCTTTAAATAACACCTGGTAAGAATAAGCATAGATGGTATTTCTATCATTATTCTCTACCACACCATTCTCTCCTATGCCCAGTGCCTTAAATATGCAGACCTCTTGAGTCTTTTAATGTGCTGATTTCTCTCCATTTCTGGAATGGATTCACCCCATGCTACACTGTACCAAAACTGACTTACTCATTTTTTTTGCCTTTTGTTTTTATTTTTTTTACTTTTTATTTTTATTTATTTTATTTTATTTATTATTTTATAAGGTAGTTCACAATATTTGACTACATTTATTATCCAAACACCAATCCCACCACATTACACTTTCCCACCACCATATTTTGGGTGTTTCTTTTTTTTTTTTAATTTTTAGTAGTGAAACACCATGAGGTACAGTTGTAGACTTACAATTTTTTGTGCTTGGGTTTCAGTTATACACTGATCGAGTACCCATCACTCCACTAGAGCCCATTCTCCACCACCACTAATCCCAGTATCCCTCCAACCCCCACCCTCCATACCACCCTGCCTCTGTGGCAGGGCACTCCTTTTTGTTCTCTGTCTCCTTCTGGGCGCTGTGGTTTGCAAAAGAGGAGTTGCGTGGCAATCAGCTCAAGTATCACGTCCTCAGTGAATCTTTCCCTGGTCCTCAGTACTATTCACCCAGATCTCCTTATTACATAATCTTATGTAAACTGAATTTCTATTTGTAGTTATGTTGATTACTACCTTCAGTAATTTCAGCTCCATAAGATTAGGAGTAGTATTTATAATATCCATCTCTGTATCCCCAATCCCAGTCATTGAACCTAACTCTCCTAAGCTCTCAATGAGTAATAATTGAAGTAAAAAATAGAGAATGGATGAGTCTCCAGGATATCATAGGGTGTTGGGTCAAAATCAAAAAGTGATCAGAGATAAAAGTCCAGGAGAGAGATTTTTTTTAAGATACAATCAATCGATTCTATTTCTTTTTTTTTAATTTACCTTTTATTTATTTATTTATTTATTTATTTAATGAATCACCGTGAGGTACAGACTTGCAAACTTCCATGCTTAAGTTTCAGTCATACAATAATCAAGTACCCATCCCTCCACCGGTGCCCATTCTCCACCACCAATGATCACAGTATCCCTCCCACCAACCCCATCCCATACCCCCAGACCCACCCTGCGTCTGTGGCAGGGCATTTCCTTTTGCTCTCTCTCCTTTTAGGTGTTGTGGTTTGCAAATATAGGTTTTGAGTGGCCATTATTTGGTCTATAGTTCACTTTCAGCTTGCATCAAGGAGAAACAGATTACTCCACACTTTGATACGACTCTCCTTGATTTTTATTATGGCAAGCCTCCATCAGAACGCAACTGCATAAACTGGGTGGATTTTCCCACCTACTAGGGATGAACCTGTTCAAGAAAACCCTCAATTTTGAGTCAACAAAATGAAATGTCATTTCTTGATAAATATACCAAACTCGCCATTCATTTCTACCTGAACGGCAGTGCCACATTCCTTGGGAGAAAATGAGTTCAGTTACGAACAGAAAGCAGAGTTCACTGAGTTTTTTTACTATTACGCAATACCACCCATCTCGTGGCACACAACATATAGTGGATTGGTAGTTAAATAATCGCTGGTACTGATATCTGCTGGGCTGGAGCGATAGCACAGCGGGTAGGGCATTTGCCTTGCAGGTGGCCAACCTGGGTTTGATTCCTCCACCCCTCTTGGAGAGCCTGGCAAGCTACTGAGAGTATCTCACCCATACAGCAAAGCCTGGTAAGCTACCCATGACGTATTCAATATGCCAAAAACATTAACAACAAGTCTCACAATTTGTTGTGAGATGTGACTGGTGCCTACGCAAGCAGATCTGTGAACAATGGGAGGACAGGAATACTGATATCTGCTATCAGATCTTTCCCAGTCTTGTTTATCCAGAGGACCTCAGAACTGAAGAGGACTCTACATAGCTCAACCAAATCTTGGGTGTTGAGTGTGACAGAGCTGATGGGTTCCAGCTATCCTGTATTGATACATATCCGTGAGCACTGGATTTGACAATTTGACACCTATTGTCAAAAGGTAATGTTGTAAATACAATTCCTCTCTCCTGCTCTTCCTAGTCAGTGTCACTGTACTTGTAGATTTTAAGTTTTCTGAGACGTACATATATTTCAAAATCCAGTTTTATATATTATATACTCACTACTCTACAATTTTTGATGTCAAATATCCATCACATACAAACAGATAAAATATCTAGGGATCTGAATTCAGTGAATGCATAAAGGAAGGAAGGAAAAAGAGATATTATTAGTGTCTGAACATTTGAAGTTTCTATGGGTCGAAGATTTTCCATTGACCATAGATTCTCTTGGGAATATTTTTCTTGTGAGCCTAAAAGGCAAAGGGAAATAGAAGAGGAACACATATGACCTTGCTACCTAAATCCCAGGGATTTTGTTTATAGAAACTAATTTTATAAATGCTAACTTTAAATAAATTGGAGTGGATTAAAATAAGCTGTTCTTTCTATTAGAAAATTTGACTTTGCTATTAAGTGCTGTAAAGGCATGGGATGAGTTGCTTGGCATTCTAAAGATGTTGGAGATACGCAAATACTGGAAAAGCCAGAAGTCAAAGGAAGAACCAATGTTTCCCCAAACACTAAAGTGGTTCATGGGAATTGGTTTTCATCTAAGATTTGACTTCACAACCTAAATAAGTGAGGAAAACCATTTAACGTCTCTTAGAGTGCAGTTTTACAGTCACCATTTATAATTACTTCACTTGGATGGAAGAGTTGTTGGCTCTTTCAACCCGTCAGTAATACAAATTATAAACCTCCATAGCAAAGCTGTAGTCACTCATATTCCTGTATGTAGTTCCTGGCTCTGGCCTGTATCAGTCTCACAGGATTTTTTAATATAGTAAGAGAGAAACCCTAAAATAATGAAGCTGCCAGGCAGGTAGATAGGGCAGGGAGACTGCATGGCAATGAGTTCTTGAGAAGTAATAAAACCAATTAGCCCAAAGGCTGTCAGGATCCACCTGTGGACTTATCAGACCTTATCAGAACTAAGGTCTGATAAGATCTTTACCTGAAACCAGCACAGACCCAGAGAAGCTTCAGCAGGAATAGAATATCAAAGATGACCAGCAACTTCTCCCAACTCTTCCCCTTGGTAATCACCCTAGCAGTAAACTTTTACCTAGATAGAAGTCCCATGAGGGGCAGGTTGAAAGAAACACTATAAAAGCCAACCTAGGAACAAAGAAAGCAAGTACAGGTGTTGCCTGAGCACATGTGTTGCTGCCAAATGCATCTGATGCACAAACACGTATGTTGCCTTGCCCACATTTCCTCTCTAGACATGTGATATTTGTTCTTTCATATCTAATGCCAGAATGTGCACTGGGATTCTAGTTCCACTCTGGAGAAGCCCAGGTTCTCTCTTAAACACATTTCTCTATCTCTCTGTGTGTGTGTGTGTGTGTGTGTGTGTGTGTGTGTGTGTGTCTGTCTGTCTGTCTGTCTCTATCTCTCTGTCTCTCCTCCCCACATTCCTCAAAGATTCCAAACAATACCTGTTATACTTCACTGCTCACCTCCTCCTGAAATTCTTTTCTGAGAAGCGAAGGTGATGGACCCAAAAGGCCCAGCTAAGGTCTAGGACTGACTTTCCTTTCTTGCTAGGAGCAAGGCTCACAGCTTTATCAGTCCTAGATTTCCCAAGTCATTTTCCAGGTGGCAGAGGTGGATAGAGGACAAGTGGCAAATTCCCTTTTGGAGGCTGTCACCTCTTTCCTCCCCACTTCACATAAGTCACCCAGGGAACCCACCAGCATCAGGACCATGGGGGATAATGCTTCATGCTTGAAAATCTTGAGATCATCATAGATAGACTGACCACTTCTTAATGAAGATCGCCATGTTTCCACCTGCAATAGAGAAGTAATTCCTTTTCTGCAATAATCTAATGTTGTGTTTTAGGTCTTTATTTACAGTATCTAGGTACCCATACTAATTTGTTATCTGTTCCAATTCATATAAATTAAGAGTAACTGAAACCTGACTGCTATTGCTTCATTTTGTTTGGTTTGGGGGCCACACCTGTCAGTGTCCAGGGCATACTCCTGACTCTGGGCTCAGGGATCACTCCTGGTGGAGCTCCAGAGTGTAGAGGATCAAACCCAGACAGGTCTTGTACAAGGCAAGCACCCTCCTGCTGTACTATTTATACAGATCCTTGACTGCTAGTGTTAAGTTATTCTGTTTTTAAATAAAACTCCCACGGGCCAGAGTGATAATAGGGCACTGGCCTTGCACGCAGCCAATCCAGGTTAGATCCCAGGCATCCCACCCCACTGTCCCTCCAGCCCATCAGGGGTAATTCCTAAGTGCTAAGCCATGTATATTCTCTGAGCACTACCAGATGTGTCCAAAAAAAAAAGGAATAAATAAAAAATAATAATTCCAAAGGGAGGCAGGTTGGCACACTGAGGATGTTTAAAAACAAAAAAGCCATATTAAAATTTTTGAAGAAAAAAAAAACCTGTCCTGCTTCTTTCTGATGGAATAAACCTGGTTTGGTGACAGGGCAGTCGAGAGATTCCAGGACCCACTTAGAATGCAAATCATCTGGCTCACTTGAATACAATAGCTCCTAAAGATGTCTACAGCTATTTGTCAGTTGGCCAGCCACCCAGGGGACTTGAAACCTCCCAGAGTAGTCAAAAGGAAAAAGAAAAAAAGAAAAGGAAGAAAACCTTGGGAGGAGAGGCCTCAAAGCTGGCTAAATGAACACAAAGCCACTGAAGCTGCTCAAACAAACATCTTTAATCTGTTTGTGACACCTGTCACCTAGGCACAGAAAAGACACCGGACTATTAGACTTCAACACAGAGT